CATAGAAAATGCTACAAAAAAAAAAAAAAAAAGACATTGAAGGCATCTCTCAAGAAAACAGATGCAGACATCAAGAGTTTGGAGGAGCTAGCTGCCAGTTGACTCCAATGGCATTACAACCTCAATCAAGCAGCAGCTCGTTTTGAGGTAACACGTCTTCCCTTCGAAGCAGAAGAGAAGGCAGAGGAAGGAAGAGGACAGAAATCCCAGCCTGCAGCCTATTCTCCCCTGGGGAAAAGTTCTGCAACTCCTCCAGACCGATCTGCAGCTTAAGGATTGGACTCTTAAGCCATCTCAGAACCCTTTAATGAGCTGTGGTAGAGATCATCCTTGAATCAAAGGATTTCCAACCATGACAGGCAAGGGCCTCAAGACAGTATGGTAGCTTACATTACTTTACATGGATTCTGTCCTATGCAGTGGTTTTTTCAATCTTTTTTCATTTGCGGACCCCTAAACATTTTTAAAATGCACACCTATTTAGAAATTTCAAATGGAGGAGTGGACCATTTTGAACTAAAGTGTAAGTATCCGCACACTTTTGATTGATCAAAGTCATCTTTTGCAGGCCCTTAGACACAATCTGCAGACCCCCAGGGGTCTGTGGACCACAGACTGAAGACCACTGTTCTAATGGGATAGTAAGCATTTCTCCTCATTATTAGGAAACAAAGAATAAAGAGGTAGAGGTTGTCAGGAAAGAGCTCATCTCCATTGAGTTCTTGCTCTCTCTTCCTGCTGTTGATGTGTTAGAGAAGATGCTTAGACCTGCTAGATCTACTAGGGTGATCTTTATTTGCAGACCTCTCAAGAAGGTTGTTTCCTGATGTAAACTGCGATCCCAGAGACGAACAGGGCCACGGTTAGCAGATGTAATGAAGGGAGAGAGCTCACATGGGTCAAATTAACTTCTCAGTCCAGAAGATTTAGGGGGATCCTCTAAACGGATTTTTCCCCACAATTGTCTTTCCATCCCAGAGGGTTATCCATGGTAGAAATGGGCCACCAAGGAGGAGGGTCTATGTTCTCTAATGAAGCTGAGAAGGGAGATTCCTCTTCCACTGAGGAAGTACACCAAGTCCCAGTCCCAGTCTAATTGATAACCAGTGTCAAAATATCATGAAAGGGGCCTGTTCAATATCAGGGATTTGGGTACCGGTTCAACAGTTAAGGTAGCGGACATTTGTGCCACTACCGTCTGTACGGAGCTTATGCAGCACTGGTACATGTGGCACCAAAAAAAAGAAGCTTTGCCTGTTGAGCAGTACCAGAGGTACTACAGTTCCTTCTATGTGGTGTAAATAGAATTGGAAATTTCATCTTGGGCAAGGCTCAGTGGTGAGGTTCCAGGGACAGCATAAGCTTGGGGGAGTTGTCTCTTCACTGGAGGGCGACGTCCATTGGTCTCCCTGGTTTTTGGATCCTGGGCTGATGATCAGGACTGCTGAGCTCAGGATAACACTGTAGCTCACTGGGGGCCTCTAGCAAATGGGATAAGTCTTTCTAAATTTTTGCCAGGATCTGAAGATGCCTGTACAGATACTGCAACAAGATGTTGTTTCAGTCTACTTTCTCTAGCTTTAAGAGTACACTAAGAGCACTGCGCTTGGCTTCTCCGATCATAAGGTTACTGTACATTACTGGCAAAGTCTGGAGAATGACTTTTTTAGGCCTGCACACAGTGGATGAGGGGACAAGAACCGTATCAAGTGAATCTAAGTAAGAAAAATTAGATCACTATTTAGATGAATTCAGCTCCCAACAACAGGAATTACCTACTCTTTCTTGATGACGGATGCAATTCATTTTGTAGTCACAGGGCGCATGCAGACGAAACAAGGGGCATGTGTGCATGACGCTTTAAAGTAGGTTAAAAGCTTCTGCACTGCTTTACAGTTGTTTCTGTCTGCATGAGTCGGCAGCATATTGCACATTAATTCCAGCCGCTGTTAGCACATTCAGCAGCATAATGCGCCTTAAATGACTTTGGGGAGCAGCAAACTAAAACACCTCCAGAGAATTTTAGTTTGCTGCCCTACAGCCATGGAGTGAAGCACCAGGCTTTGTGCAGCTAAGGGGCTCTGCAGGCAGCCCAGGAAGGCAGGCTCCACTGAAGGAAAAAAAGAAAATCAGTGAGCCTGATCTTTCCCACCTCTCCTCCAGAACCTACCTACCTGAGCTGCACAGGGACCTGGTCCTTCCCTCCATGGCTGCAGTGCCCCCTGGGACCACCCAAGCTGGGAGCCTGTGCACGGGTGCTGCTGCTGATGCAGAGGGAAGCACCAGCCCTCCCTGGCAGCTTGCCCTCCCCTCCCTCGGCCAGAGATGTAGGTAACACACAAACGTACGACACGTGGGTTTACTTCACGCTAAATTGAAGCAGTGTTTTTAAAAACCCACCACTCCAATTTAGGGCCCCTGTTTCATCTACACATGCCCACCAGGTAATAAAATGGAACTGGCTGACAGTTGAGGAAGGCTATCCTTTTATTTTCAGCTACAGTGGTCAGGAGGGTTCCCAGAACACAGGTCTGACCCCCAAAGAACACTGCTATTGAAAAGAGAACCAAATTTAGTACACATAGTGCAATCTGCATGGACACTAACTTGAAGAAAAAGCTACCTTCTACTAAAGACTTCTCATCCCCTCCTAAGCCTTAGAAGGGAAAAGCAATCTTATTACATTTAATTAGAAAGCTTCTCATGGCTTGCTTAGAACAAATTTAAATTCGTTCTTCATTGTACAGTATTAGCAAAATGAATTATTAAAGAATACTTTACAAATTTTTATCAAAATTAATATTAGATTAGAGGGAAGCCTTGGAAGCAATACAAGACAACTCTTTCTTTTCAAGTGAGCTAACATTTTGCAGCAAGTTAAAATAAAATCTTACCTGTGTAGATACAAGGCCAGCTGCATAATCTGGAGTAGCATTTTCCACTACTGTTTCCTCTTTGGCTTGCTTTTCCACCACTTCTGCATCTATAGAATGGAAAAGGAAGAGTTGGTTCAAGTTAGCTTTCCTAACTACAGAACAAGTTCTCTCTTTTTAAACAATGACGGAGTCTATGTAAGATTGGTTGATTTTTAAACAAAAAGTAAATAAAATGTATATAGTGTGCTAATTTTGCAAATACGATGTTTTTTCTATAAAACATCCAGTTGGTTTTGCAATAAAACTAGCACTTAGAATACAAACAAATTTACAATTTACTAAGGCACTATAATTTAGCCAGTTCTGATTGCTTAATGTTGCGATGAATATTAGCAAGCTTCAGTCAAACGAAGCACAACAACAACATTTACTGCAATTATGGCTTCATTCACTAAAATTTGCTTATTTATTTATTTTAGGTAGCTTTAAAAATTAAATTAAGGTTTAAGGGGAAGAGAAGGTAGGGGGCAGGGAGAAGGGGGGCACCTGAAGCCACATAACTAGAACTGGTTTTAGAACAGTCTACTTGTTAACACTAGTAAACTTGATCAATATTATATTGAACTAACCTAGAGTCTTTCTTCTTCGCTTTGCTTCACGGCCAGCGCCAACCATGTCCAGCTCTGAGATATCTAGTAACTACAAAAGAAGTACCCACATTTACTTCAAACTCTTTCATCAAATATTTGATTAAATTTTTTGGAAATTAGTATAAAATACAACTGCTCATACCCATAGCTCAAAAAGGGACAGGAAACTGGAGACCACTTTTGATCAAGAATAGTGAGCTGACAGCACATAGAAAGGATTTTTAAAAGCTATTACCTACCTTTACTCCTCTTTCTTTGCGCAGAGGTGTTCTTGAAGGAGGAATAGGGGTTCTGTTTCCAGAGGGGCTAAATACACTAGGTGTTGTGGGACTCCTGAATGGAGCTTGTTTTGGTATTCCTTTGAGTGGTGCTTGAAGAGAAAGAACAGCAGCAATTTATTAAAAAAAAAATGTTCACTTGGTTAGAAACATAGACAATAAGAGCCTAAATTATTTTTGTGCTCTATTTCTGTAGCTTCCTAAGCCACTTCTATGGAAGACACCACACACACACACACACACCTACCTACCTACCTTCAGGTCTACTTACTATGTTATATGTAGCTTACAGTTTGCGACCCAGGAGCATAAGGCTAACCCATTATTATTACTATTAGACGCATACAAATACTTTTCATGCATATGATTTTAAAAATATATGAACCAACTGAAATGCACTCCAGCAAATC